CTGGAACCCTATGGTTCTGATCTTACCAACAATAGAGCTATAAGGGGAACATCTAATTAGGGATCCATAGTTCACTTGAAACTTTCAAGAATTTAGATTTTACGTGCACCATTAGAGTCATTTACACTTGACATAAAGGGTTGTCTGATCTTGTTGCTTTCTCAAACATTTTCCACTTCAGTTCATTCAGTTCATTCCTTTAGGAGAATCAGATGCTGTTAAGGATCTAATCCTATATACGAAAACAGAGGTTCTTGTCTTGCAAGAAGAGGCTCTCCACCCCTAGGTCCAAAGATTACACAAATGAATCTTCTTACGAGAGGATGACTTTACTCCAATTTACTTGGGATGGGATGTGTAGATACACTTATGTAATTAATTCCAATTGTATGCCGAGAACAATATATATCAAATGGGTTGCCTGTAGTAGAACATGTTTGGCTGTTAATGACATTCAAATGAAATAGATATTACACAAACATTACTCTTTGCTAAGAAGACTGATGATACTGAAATTCTATTCCTTAAAATAAGACAGAAGTTTCTGACTTTAACCTCATAAATTAATAGATTCATATCTCTGTTTCACAAGCTTTTTTTTTACCTTTGTTCAATTATTCCCATAGCATCTTGAAAGAATGAGCTACTTAATCTTAGACATGACTATATAAGTATTAGCAGGCAGATAGCAAGCCCAAATACTAATTTACTAAGTTGTTTGGGATATGGAATGACTAGACATTCTGATTGAAAACAGTAAGATCTTATATACTTGCATTGTGTTTATATCTTCTACAGAATACTTGCTCTTATTATAGAAATTTGCTATAAAAGGAAAAAGCTGGGACAGCATCACAACTGGTCTTTAAATGATGTTAATTATTATTGTTATTAAGGAAGGGTCACTGGTCAAATTGATATAGATAAACATTAATTGGTGATTGATTTTGTTGGAAGGACACCGGATAGGGACTGGTGAGCTATAGTACCAGAGAAACTGCATTCCACATGCATATATATGCATATAATATACAAATCTATTATACACATGTTATAGGCATATAAAAGATAATAAAAATGCATTATCAATATTTATGGGATGAAACAGTAGTAGTCAGGAACAAATTAATATTCCTAAATTAACTAATATTAACAAGTGAGGAAAAAATATAAAAACCCTCACTGCATCTACTTCCCCTGTTAGTTATTATTGATATATCTTCTTCTTTTCTCAGTCAAGTTCACAGAAAAAAAAACCCTGTCTATACTCATTGCTTTCACTTCCTCTCCTCTCACTCACTTCTAAACCCTCTGCAATTTGCTTCCTGCCCTCATCATTAACCTGAAACTGCTCTCTTCAAAATTGTCAGTGGTCTCCTAATTGCCAAATCAAATGGCATCTTCTCAGTCCCTATGCTTCTGGAGCTCTCTATAATATGTGTGTGCATGTATGTATGTATGTAAGTATGTATGTATGTATGTATAATTTTTTACTACCCTATACTGAATCCGGTCTCCTTTCTAGGTTTTCTTGAAATGGCTCTCTTGTGGTTCTCCTTCTACCTGTCTGTGGTAGAACCACAGGTTCTACCTTCTACCTATTGCTCCTTCTCAATCTCCTTTGCTACTTCTTCATCCATGTCACTTCCCCGAATTACAGGTGTACCTCCAGGCTCTGTCCTGAATTGCCTTCTCTTTTATTTTATACTCTTTCATGTGGTAATCTTATCAGCTCCCACGGGTTTAAATATATCTCTACTCAGATGATTCCACATCTACATATCCAGTCCTAGTCTTTCTCTGTAGCTCCAGCTGCACATAACCAACTGCCTATCTGACATTTCAAGCTAGCTATCCCACAAGAATCTCAAATTCAACAGGTTTGGTTTGCCATTTCTTTCTCCAGCTCATTTTACAGATGAGAAAATGGAGGCAGACAAAGATGAAGTGACTTGCCCAGGGTTATGTAGCTACTAAGTATCTGAAGCCATATTGGAATGTGGATTTTCCTGATGCCAGGTCTAGTGCTCTAGCTGGAAAAGTACCTGAGGCCAGGTTTGGTGGCAATGTTAGAGAGAAAGATGTTGTGAAAGTGGATATGCCATGACTTGGGATGAGAGAGAATGAGGAGTCAAAGATACCTGAGGGACTGGTGCCCTCAACAGTAATAGGGAATTTTGGAAGAAGTTGGGGGAGGGGGGAGATAACAGGTTCTGTTTTTGATATGTTGAATTTAAGATGTCTATGGCATATCCAGTTCAAGATGCCCAACAAGCAGTGAATAATGTTAGATTGAAGGTCATGAGAGAGGTTGAGATTTGTATATACATATACATATATATATAATATATATACATATACATATATATCTATATACATATACATATATATGTACATATACATATATGGGGGGGAGAGAGAGAGAGGAATTATCTCCCTAGAGATGATAATTGAATCCATGGGAGCTAATGATATCACCAAATAAAATAGCATGGAAAGAAAAGGATAGAGCCATGGGGGACACCTACAGTTATCGGATATGACTCAGTGGAAGATCCAGCAAAGGAGAAGGAGAAGTACTCAGACATGGAAAAGGAGCAGCAAAAGAGAGCAAGGTTTGGAAAGAGTGAGAGAAAAGGAAGTGAAGTACAGATCTTGGATGGCTTTCTCAAGGATTTGAGCCATGAAAATGAGGAGAGATACAGGATAAGAACTACCAGAAATGATCAGATCACAAGAGGGATTTTTTAAGGATGGGGGAGGGATAGGCATGTTTTGGGAAGTAGGGAAACGGTCAGTAGACAAGGAAAGATTGAAGATGAATGCAAGGATAATGGGAGGGGCAATCTTCTAATGAAGATGGGATGGAATGGGGTCATAAGCATATTAAGGATTTGATTTATTTGTTTTTTTCATATATATTTAACATTGTTGGACTTTGCTTTCTTATAAAACTATCACTCATTTTATTGGGTAGTTTAATTCATTCTCATTTTAAGTTATAACTTAGGTTTATGTTTTCCTCCATTTACCTCAAATTTTCCTTCTGAATTAAGTTTTTTTTGGTTACACAAAATATGTGTCCATGTCTTACTAAAAGATTTGCCTGAGCAAGGAGAAGAGCTCTTCCATAATGTGAGAAAGGTTTAAGAGAGGAGGTAGTGGAGAAAGACATTTAGATGATTTGAGATGAGAAGGGGAAAAAAAGGGAGCTCTTGGCAAATGGCCTCAATATTTTTTGGTAAAGTATGGGGCAAGGTCTTCAGGTGAGAGGGTGGGGACTGGGATGCCATGAGAAACTTTAAAGGTGATGGAAAAGTTAGATTTTATTAAAATTTAAGGTTTGTAAAGTCTTTTACAAATATTACCTCATTTTATCTTTTCAACAATGCTGGGAGGACTATGTGTAAGTGAGGTTGAGTGGAGGAGTAGGTCATGGGAAATGAGTTGATTGAGGACCTGGGAAGTTAGGATGCTTGCAGTTGCATCAATACGTATGTTGAATTCTCTTAGGATGAAGGCAGGGGTTGGAATGGAGAGAAAAACTATAAACCAGGCATTGAATTCATTGTGGGAAGGAAGGAGAGTGTGCTGGGGGTCAGTAGATAGCAGCTACTAGATTCTTAATCAGGTGATAAATTTGAATTGAAAGATCTAAGGTTCATTCTAGAAGAAGTTACTGAACAATGATTGTAAAGAGTCTGGCAAAGAAAATAAGTATTTTCACTCCCTTACCATAACCAATTAGCTCGGGGCAGGGGAAGGGGGGAGGGCATTTAAATGGAACTGATATTCAGAAGGGTAGACAGTGAGAGCTGGAAGATGGAAAAAAACGGAACTGGAAAACTTAGCTTTTGTATTTCTATCCCTAGTGGACAGCACAATGCTTCATATATAAGCATTTAATTCCTGCTTGTTGATTGATGTATTAATGTTCGGTTCATTTCAGTTCAGTTTCTAGTTAAATAAATTCAAATAAATTGAGAAACAAAAAAGTGAACTAAGAAGTTACAAATTAAAAGAAAAAACAAAAGACTTCAATTAATAAATAAAATTAAAAGCTAGTTTAAAAATGACTCATCAATAGCATTGATAAACCAATAACACATTTAATGTAAAAAAGAGCAAGAAAAAAATCAAATCATGAAAATTGAGAATTAGAAATCACAAGCAATATAGGAAAAATGATAGTGGTTATCGTACAAATTGTATATAACCATATGCTCCCAAAACTCAGACCATAAAAGAAATGGCTGAATATGAAAGAGAGGAAGGAAGGAAGGAAGGACAGAAGGAAGGAAGGAAGGAAGGAAGGAAGGAAGGAAGGAAGGAAGGAA